GGATTAAGTTCAGTCACATACGCAAAAGAATATGTTTAACTTTTTAAAAGGTGATGGTAGATGCTATCATTTGTTAAAAGTACCTTTCCAACAATTTGATTAGTGTTTGTTAAAAAAAAATAAAAATGAAAAACACTGCTGTCTAGCCAAGTTGACATATAATATTAACCATCACTGGGATCAGCTTTTGGGAGATCTTTCTAGTTAAACACTTGCTTTGCCTTCTGGATTATTGAAATCCTATCTGTTTTCTGACTCCCAGTCCTTTTCATCTCCCCTGCTCCCATTGTTTTTTGAGTGGAATCCATAGTCACCTTTATAGAACTCAGTTCAGATAAACTCACCTAGAGTATGATGCAAATAAGTTAAAAAAAGACAAAAAACAAAAAACAAACATTGTAGCCAGACTATGGTAGCCCATGTCTTTAATCCCAGCACTTGGGAGGCAGAGGCAGGCGGATCTCTGTGAGTCAAGGCCGGCCTGGTCTACAGATCGAGTTCCAGGACAACTATGGCTGTGACACAGAGAAACCCTATCTCACTCCCCACCCCACCCCCCAAAAAAAACAAATGTTGTAGGTCAGGACATATCATGTCTTCAGCCATACACCCTGTGCTCAGTCCTCAAGTCTTCTAGAAGAAAATGGAAGCTTGACTTTCCAAGACCCTGCTCCCTTTCTGACTGCCTGCTAGTGCTGTCACTCCTGTTTTTGTGTTTTGAGGTAACCTTCAAAGCATTGTGACTAGTGTGTTTAGAAGGCTCTCAAGGGATAAGATCGGGGACATAATGATGAGTTCCGGCTGGCCTGCAACAGTAGAGGCAGGGATGATGGTGGCTTTGGCTGTGATGCCGCTGTGGAGTGACAAGGTTGGGCATTACTGTGGTGTTGTTGAACTTGGATTTTTTTGTTTATTTTGTTTTGACATGAGGTCTTGATGTCTAATTTAGATCAGTTTGAAACTTATCTACTGCTTTAACATTTTAAATGCTGGGATTACAAGCATGTGCCACCACCCCTACCTGGTACTGTCAAATTATGATAAACACATTTTATTCTTTCTCAAGCCTTATAAATGTCCACCCACACTGCACCAACAACTTGTAAATGATTTCAGCATCAAAGGAACACAAAGAGCATTGCTGTTGTTCTGTTTCCTGTGTAGGTTTAGCTTTGTGTTCTAGAAATTCTCTACTGCTTCCCTGACCCACTACCAGACACCAGTGCTTGGTCAGATGCCTGCGTAATAAAGGAAAGCACTCCTCGTGATCGGGAGACCGTGATCAGAACTCCTCGTGATCGGGAGACCGTGATCAGAGACCGTGATCAGAGACCGTGATGGAGTGCATTGACTTGACTGAGGGCAGAGCAGCTTTGTGCACCACTGGCAGGACACAGAAAGGGGAGTGCAGCATTCATTTGACTTTCTCCAACTTTTTTTTAGCCAATCTTGGATCCAAGCCACAAGGTGCCACAAGCCTACATTCAGGGTAGGACTTCCTTCCTCAGTTAAACCTAATGAAACATCCTCACAGGCACACCTTTAGGAGTGCCTCATTTCTGCCCTCGGTGGTCCTTAATCCAGCCAAGTTGACTATGGAATTAACCACCACACATGGGCAGATAAAAATACCTCAATGTAACATTCAGGCTGTTCTGCACAGATATTAATTTCCTATATTTTCTTGTTCAATACTGTATCAAAATGTGCGTGTGTTTCACGCAGATGATTTCAGCTAAGTGGAATATGTAGGGAAAGTTGTTCCCAGCATTAGGTTGTCATTCTTATTTAACTCTTTGGCACCAGATTTCTGAATGGCTGGTGAACCATTAACAAAAACATACTGCTTTTACTGTGTAAATTTTGATTCCTTCTGGTGAAGAAGTATCTTAATTATTATGGACATAATTGAATTTCACCATTTCAAATATCTTTTGGGTTTCTGGTCGTTATCCATGGTTTGTCAATTCCAGAAGCAGCAAGAATTCTGTAATGCTTTGCATTTATTTTAATCTGAATTAATGTGAAGAACCAGGTCTTTATAAAGTGTTATTCCCTCTTTTCTGACTCCTAGTGATGAACCAGCCTGCCTCCATGTTATGTTTAGAAGCTGTCTTGTAGTAAGGACAAATAGGCTCATTTCTCCTTATGATTAAATATGTTTCTCAAGGATCAAGCTATGCCCCACCTTAACTACAAATGGTCCTACTGCGTGTTCAGGAAATGACAACCATGTCTGGGTTCAAAAGTTGTGTTGACTGTCTTGCAACTCTGCTTCTGAGCTGTAAAAAGCTCTTATCTTCCCCATAGCCAGTGATGACCTCTTGAACCCTGCCTTTAGGGGGAGACAACCAATGTACATGAATAAAAAAAGCTTGCTTTAATTAATTGCTTGCTTTGATTAATGTGGCCATGATGATTTGGGTTGGTGGTCTTTCTCCTGGCATCTTTGGGATTAATTCTAGTTGGAAGGGTCTGATGGAAGGAAGGAAGGATTTTTGAGGAAGGTAGTTGTTACATAAAAAATAAAAGACCCAGAGACTGATATTGGGGTTCAAGCTTCAAGCTGAAGATAAGAAAAGCAAAGCAGCCGGCCACTAGCTCTTACCTCTGCCTATGCCCTCAGACTGCTCCCGACTTCACTGCTCCAGATTCACTCAGACTGCTATGCTCTCCTCAGCGTAGCTAGAAACTAACTCTCAGACTGAATGCCTTTACCTTTTATACCTGTCAAATCCTGGGATTAAAGGCGTGAGCTCTAAATCACTCAGGTAGCCCAGGGTGGTCTTGGACTCATAGATCCTTCTGCTTTTAATCCTGAGTCCTGGGATTAAAGATGTGCTCCACCACCACCTAGTTCCTATAGCTAACTAGTGTGCCTGCTTTGCTCTTTTGATCTTCAAAAATAATAAACAATATATAGCCACACTTAGTACCAAAAATGAGCCTATGAAGTGTGCCTGAAGTCATATTTGTTCCTGTCTACGCCACATATAGTTTTGTACTTTTAAAGTTTAAGAGAAATCACCCAAAAAGAGAAGTGCTGAGTGCTTTACACCTTGTCTCTCCAGAAGACCTCCTGAATTCAGGGGCGAGAAATGATCTCAGTGAGCCCCGTGATTATTTTTTAATCTCTAGTCAGCACCTCCTTTGATGTAGTTCCCTGTAATTTTAGACCTGGTAAAGAGATTTTCACCCCTTTCAATTACATTCTCACTTGGATTTTTGTTTTCTGTATTGTCTAGTGATACTACTCAAAAAGAATATAAATGTAAATTGGACTCAGACAACTTAGGGTTTTCTTTATGTTGATCCTTTAATTAATTAGGGAACCAGGACAGGCATGATAGATGGAGCACAAGCCATGGAGAGCATATTAATCATAGTTGATTATAGCGAGACCGAAAGGGGAGAGACAGACATGACAGAGGGAGAGAGGAAGATGAGAGAGAAGAGATGATGAGAGAGGAGATGATGAGAGAGAGGATGACAGAGAGTGTGTAAGTGGGCAGGGGGTCTGTCCTTTAAAGGGGTCCTTTGCACCTGCGTACAGACTGGTTCTCATGGAACTTTGGGCTGGCCAGAGTGCTGCCTGAGTGCGTTCTGCCAGGTAACTGGCCTGGCCAGTGTAATGCCTGAACCTTTCATTAAAGATGTATTTATTTGGAGTGTGTTTATTATGTTTTTAAAATTTCATTTAATAATTATGTGCTGGTTTTTGTTTTGTTTGTTTGTTTTGGACAGGTTCTTTCTATTATGTAGCCCTTGTAGTCCTGGAACTCACTGTGTAGACTAAGCTGGCCTTAAACTCATAGAGTTCCCACCTGCCTCTGCCTCCCAAGTACTGGGATTAAAGATGTGTACCACAATGCCCAGTTACATGCTGTATTTGCTCAACTTAAAAATTTCTTGAGGTGGTGTTTCATTATACTGCGATGTTGGCCTTGCTCATGGGTTTAAGCAGCCTTCTTGCCTCATTCTTCCAAGTAGTAGCACCCCCACACCCAGCTTGCATGGCTTCCAAAATAATTTATCACCTTGTCCTTACGTAAATCAGTTGTTCTTACAGTGTTAGGTGTAGCCATTAGGCCGTTTTTTCCCCCCACAATAGATTGTAAGCCCCAGATTGAACTACATGGTGGATAATACTGTATTGTTTCCATATTACAGATTTAAGGCACTTAAAAATATCTTAGTCTTAGAATTTAACTGATATATTCATTAGATGGGATCAAAACTGAGCTATGATTGAGGGTTTCCTGGTTTGCCAAATGTTTTAATTTGGTCTTAGGGCAGCCTTTGGAAATTCTTTTTTTAATGGTTCATTTGTTCATTGTATGTGTGCATTTATGTATATGTATGTAATTATGTATGTATATGACATACATGTGGAGGTTGGAGGACAACTTGTAGGAGTTGGTCCTGGGTATCGAACTCAGGTTGTCAGACTTGGCAACAGGCACCTGTTCCCGCTGAGCCATCTTGCTGGTCCTGGGAATTCCTTATCTATTCAGATTTCTTTTTTAGTTTGTATTGTGCATATTTGTGTGGGGTATGTGCATGTTAGTACAAATGCCCTCAAAGGTGACAGGATCTTCTGGAGCCTGGAGTGACAGGTGGCTGTGAGCCACCAGCACAAGGCTCAGGAATCTGAACCTGGGTCCCCTACAAGAGCAGTGCATACTCCTTACTGCTGGGCCATCTCTCCAGTCTCAAACAGATTGATTTAGTGGTGTTCTGGAACAGTAGGCCTGTTGCATGTTAGGAGAACCCTGGGTGCTGACTGAAGGGTGCCGTCAATTCTTGACCTTATTGTCATAGCCACTAGTTTTCCTCCTCTCCCCATGTATTTATATTAGAGGGATTGAAGGTGCTGTTGTGTTCCTTGGGATGCAAAGGATGCTTGTGTATGTGTGTGTGTACTCGTGTGTGTGTGTGTGTGTGTGTGCGCGCGCACCCAATTGTTAATGCTGCTATATGTTTTCTTTTTCTTTTTGCAGTGGATACAATCAAGTGGTTTTTAAACTCTTTCTGGAACTGGAGACATGAGGCTGAAGATATCTCTCTTAAAAGAACCAAAGCATATCCTTTTAATACTGTAAACTTCACTGCATTCAACTTGTTATGATACTGTCATAGGTTTTCTTCTGCTTTTCTAAAGTCTATTTAATAGTTACTTTTCATTTCTTGAATGTTATTTTATAGACAAATTGTTTTCCAAGTTGTAGGTATTTCCCCAAAGTATACTATGAGCCCAAAGTCTTACTTCCAAATATTTACTGACATTTTTATTACTCTACTTCTTAGGTATTTAAAAACAATCCTTTGTTTAATCTAATACAATCTTAAAAAGAATCTTTAACAAAATCTGTATTAATTGGCCAGCCAGCAGTGTCTCACACCTTTAAGCCCAGCACTCTGGAGACAGAGGCAGGTGGATCTCTGAGTTTGAGGACAGCCAGGGTTACACTGAGAAACCTTGTCTGGAAAACCAAAAGCAAACAAGAAGTCCGAATAATTCAGTTTTGCTTTATTTCTTTGTACTCCTGAGAAAATAGAAGACAAATTAGGGAAATCTGAGCAGTAAGTCCGTTATTACTTCACAAAGGAAGGTGGCAGTTATTAATCTTTTCTTAGATATACAACTTTTATATATTGTCAGAGAGCCTGCAGTGGAGTTGATGGAGTACAGCTGACCCCCCCTCTCACTCTTCATTTCAGTCAGTTCTTAAGGTATTTCCTGTGGATTCTATTGCAGGTCTGTGAGGGAATAAGACACTTAATGTGGGGTGAGACTGTTCGAATTTATCATCCTGGCAGCATTCAAAGATCATGTTTAGGAATTTATTTGAGGTTTGTTTCTTTGCTTGCTTGTTTATTTTGTTGATGTGGATTGAACCCAAGCCCACCATGAGCATATTAAACTCATATTCTACCATGAAACTATATTCCAAGCCTCCCATTTTTAAATGTTTTTATTTTGGCTTTTTTTGGGGGGGGGTTCTCTGTGGCTTTGGAGGCTGTCCTGGAACTACTCTTGTAGACCAGGCTGGTCTTGAACTTACAGTGATCTACCTGCCTCTGCCTCCTCAGTGCTAGGATTAAGGTGTGCGCCACTCACCCCCTGGCCCCAGCCCCCATTTTTATTTTATCTTACCAGATGTCAGTCTGCCATAGATGCGAAATGAAGAAAATCTGGTCCTTCATCAGAAGTAGGGAAATACTGATTTAAACATCTACTTCTCTTTTTTTCTATTTATTTAATTCTTAGTAAAGATATAGTTTCTCTCCTTTTTATATCAATTTTCTATCTTTTCAAAGGGTGCTCTCAGGAATTCATGCCACTATTGGTGTCTGGTGTTTGTGTTTACCTTTGTAAGCTGAGGAATAACTCCCATTTTCGATTTTCCTCACCCAACAATTCTTTCATTTTTACTCGTAGTCACTCTATATATGCATATTTTATGACCTTATATAAACTGCTGTTGTTTTGTTCAGAGATGTATGTGTGTGGTGTAGGTTTTACCTAAGCTGCCTGTCTTGGTTTTAGCAATAGTGTCAGAGGCTGGAGAGATATCTCAATAGTTAGAAACAGTGCTGTTCTTACAGAGGACCCAAGTTTGGTTTGCTGCCGGATCCTCCTGCAGGTAGAGCTGGGGAAGGGCTGGTCCAGCTGGTCTCTTCCCAGGGCTGAGCAGGACGGTCAGTGTCCATGACTCAGACTCTCCCCCTTAGTTACCGGGGAGAAAGCACACACTGAGTGGGGAGACTTGTGGAGCAGGATCTCAGTTTATTCCAACAGGCAGGAACTTATATAGGGCTGAGGTAGGGGATGGGAATCTTAGGATGGGGTAAGGTACCCTGAGGAGTTAGTTTTTTGGTAGTGATCCTTTCCTGTTGTTATTTTGCTTAAGATTAGAAATTAGAAAAAGGAAAAAGAAAGTGTTGCAGGAAACAGGAACCGGCGCTATAGACGGAGCACAAGCCATGGAGAGCACATTAACCATGTTTATTATAGCGAGACTGAAGGGGAGACAGACATGGGAGAGAGAGTAAGGTAAGGGAAGAGAAGATGAGAGAGATTAGAGAGCGTAAGTGGGCGGGACTGACTCTTAGAGGGGTCTTTGCATCTCCGCAGCAGGCTGTACTCATGGAACCCTGGGCTGGCCAGAGTGCTGCCTGAGTGCATTCTCCCAGGTATCGGGGCAGGCCCGCGTAAAGCCTGAACCTTTCACTCTCCTGTACTTTCTGCCTTGTTCAGAGCAGCACAGTACCCCTTCCTTATGATGCTGTTTTTAACATCCTCACATTGTCTTTTTCTTTTTGCTTAATCCCTCATTTTGAATTAACTAAAAAATCTTGGAACACATCATACTGATTATGACTCAGTCTCTCTCTGTTTCTTTGGAAAAAGTTTGTTCACATAAGGTAAAAATAATGTTGGTTAAAAAACAAAGGTGAGAAGATTGTATCAGAATCATAAGAGAACAGACAACCTAACCAGGATGGACCTGGTGACCTAGAAATAGAGAGATAACAGGAGGAATCATCTATGTAAGAAATATGTAGAAATACTTTCTCCAGGTACACAATGCTACTAGCATACACCAGGTTGTCCTGAAAGCAGATGTGGGATTCTAATTTACTTTTTCATTCACTTAGGACAAATCAGAGTCTAAAAACCAAATAAGAATTTGGGGAATTGTATTTATTCCTATCCAGTAAATTGTAACTGATACTTCAGTGTCAGAAAATTTGGATTATTGGAGTGGTGAGATTGTTCACTTGGTCACTAGCTCAGACTGAAAGGCGATCCTGCCTCCATTAAATCTCAGACTGTAACCTCTCCTCAGCGTGGCTGAGAATCCTGGGACTTGAGTGTCTTCCTATCTTCAATGTGGCTGGAGAATGAACGTCTGATCTGACTACTGAAGACCCTGCTCCTGTCTTTATAACCCTCTAGTGCTGGATTAAAGGGTGTGATCCAGGTGCTGAGATCGTCTTTGTGTGAGCTGTTTCTCTTTAGGACTGGATCGATCTTGTGTAGATCTGGGTGGTCTTGGTCTCACAGAATTCTGTCTACTTCTTAATCCTGAGTCCTAGGATTAAAGTGTGTACCACTACCTCCTAGCTTCTGACTGCTGGTGTGTCACCATTGCCTGATCTTATAGCTTGAGGCTGACTTGCTTTTCTGAATCCTAAAGCAAGATTTAATAAATCATAAATAATATATCACCACACACACTTGCACACAATCACACATAGTAAGTAATACATTTAATTTTAAAACTTAGAACCCTGTATTGTCCATTAGACATAAATCATCCGTAGAGCCCTAGGTTTGTTCTTGGGAGCATAAGTGAAAAAATAAGACTAGGTAACTAAAATGAAGGCAGGAGAAACAGTAAGATGGTAGTTCCAGCTGTTAGGCCCTGGCATCTCTAGAAGGCTACCATCAGTGTGTAACTGAGAGTTCACTGTTAGAGTTCAGTCTTCCTAAAAGTAATGTTTTTAGCTCATAATCTCTGCACTTGGGAGGCAAAGGCAAGTGGATCCCTGTGATTTTGAGGCCAGCCTGGTCTAGATGATAACTTTTAGGCCAGCCATGGCTACACAGGGAGAGCCTGTCTCAAAAAGAGGGAGAGGGCTGGAGAGATGGCGCCGAGGTTAAGAGCACTGACTGTTCTTGCAGAGGACCCAGTTCAATTCCCAGCACCCACATGGCTCCCACGCTTCTATAACTCTGTATCTTAGTTAGGTTTTTACTGCTGGGATAAAACCCGTGACCAGGAGCAACCTGGGGAGGAAAGGGCTTCTTGTACCTTACAGTTCCACATCACAGTCCATAACCACTGCGAGACAGGGCAGGAACTCAGACTGGAGGAACCTGGAGACAGGAGCTGATGCATACACAGGCCATAGACAGGTATTGCTTACTGACTTGTCTCTCATGGCTTACTCCGCCTTGCTCCCTTCCCAGGATGCCCAGCCCAGAGGTAGCACTGCCCACAGTGAGCAGGGCCCTTCTGCGTCTCTCCTCATTCAAGAAAAATATATCACAGGCCAATCTTGGGGGTCATTTTTCAAAAATTTCAGGTTCCTTCCTTCCAGATGACTCTAGCTGTGTCAAGTTACATAGATCTCTGAATTAGCCATCTCCTGACTTCCATAGATACCAGTCATGTATATGGGGCACAGACATACATGCAAGCAAAACACTCATACACAGTAAATAAATCATACATGTTAGATAAATCTAAAACAGTTGTAAAATTATACCTATATATGGATTCTGATAACTTAAGTAATACATGGATAACTATATGTATCCTTTGCCCCCTTTCTTCCTGCCTATCTCCCAACATCATTTCCTACCTTTTGATTTTTACTTACTGATTTTGAGTGTTTGTGTCTTTTGGCATGCTTAAGGAATATCGTTTTTTTGCAAAATTTTTATTCCCTCTCTGGCTTTCTTTAATTTCCATCCTTACAACTTGTTTGGAAGAAGTTTTCCTTTATATGGAAAAAATATTAAACATCATACAATGAGCTGAGTGGTGGTGGTGCACGCCTTTAATCTCAGCGCTTGTGAGGCCAAGGCAGGCAGATCTCTGAGTTCAAGGCCAGTCAGGTCTATAGAGTAAGTTCCAGAACAGCCAAGGCTACACAGAGAAACCCTGTCTTGGAAAAAAAAAAAGAGAGAAAAGAAAAATCACACAATGCAAAAAAATATTTGGAGAAACTTAAAAACATTTGGCTACTTTGATTTTCATGCCCCACATCTTGCCTTTAAAGATTGAAGCCTTTTTTGCTTGCGTCTCCTTAACACAACACCACATCAGGAATTAGTGAGCTGTGTGGGTTGGACAACGGCTGAGGAGCTGTACTCGTGCAGCGATGACCACCAGATAGTGAAATGGAACTTGCTAACCAGTGAGACCAGTCTAATAGTAAAGCTGCCTGATGACATCTACCCCATAGATCTTCACTGGTTTCCCAAAAGTTTAGGCGTGAAGAAACAGACGCAGGCAGAAAGCTTTGTCCTCACGAGTTCTGATGGTAAGATTTGCTTCTTTGTTTGTTCTATTGGTATTTTGCCTGCATGTATGTCTATGTGAGGGTGTTCGATCCTGGAGTTACAGACAGTTGTGAGCTACCATGTGGGTGCTGGGAATTGAACCCAGGTCCTCTGGAGGAGCACTTGGTGCTCTTAACTCCTGAGTTCTCTGTCCAGCCCTCTGACAGTAAGTTTTCAATGAATGTCCTGTGTACACGTGTGTATTGAAAATGGAGAGTAGCACTAGGAAGTGTGCCTGGAGTTGACATGAATACTCTGCTATTTGACGTGGAGACCCTGTCATAGCCACATTCTCTTTTTTTGTGTGACCTTGGTGATTTTGAAGGATTCAGGCCTGTTGCTTTTGTTTTTCTTGTTTGTTTTGCTTTTAGAGACATGGTTTCTCTGTGTAATAGCCCAGGCTGTCCTGGAACTCATTCTGTAGACCAGGCTGACCTCAAACTCACAGAGATCCACCTGCTTCTGTCTCCCCAGTGGTGGGATTAAAGGTGTGCACCACAATCACCTGGCTTTTTATAGAAAGCCCCTTAATTTGTCTTTTTAACCGTTTCTTTATAATTTGATTCAGCTTACAAGTTTTAGTGGGAATACTGGGAGCCCCATAGTGTTGATTTGAAACATTATTGTGATGTGAATGCCTAACAACAGGTGCTTTCTAAGTTAATCTACTGTGATGTTACTGTTTTCTCCCCCGCTTTTTGATTTGTTTTGCTTTATGTGTTTTGCCTACATATATGTATGTGCACCGCGTGTATGCCTGATGCTTGCGGAGTGTAGACGAGGGTGCGGTTAGAGACATGGTGGTTGTGAGCCACTGCGTGGGTACTGAGATGTGAGGCTGCCCTCTGCAAGAGCCAGTGCTCTTAGCCACGGAGTCATCCCTCCCGCCCCTGTTTTCTTCCTTTTGATAGCTTGCTACGAAAATACATTTGGGACTACATAAAAGCATTCTGCTCCTTCTTAGACTTTCTCCCATTCTAAAAGTCTACGCTGGTTCTTGCCTAGGTCATTTATTCCCAGTGAAGCTGCCAAATGATAGCTTTTCTATCTCTATAATTCTATCACGTGTTAAATTGTTGGTATTCTGTTTCAGGGAAAATTTTCTGTCCCATGGCCATTTGTCTTACTTGGTTTAATGTTAGGTTAGCCTTATAGATGTTTATTTTATTTCTGTTACCATAATTTCTTAATCTTGATTTTGAAATTGTTCCATATTTGTCCACTGAGAGTCCCATAGATGGAGCCAGCTACAGTGGTGTTTGTTTTTGTTGTGTACACGTATTTGTCGTTTCTTGAGCACTTCCTTACTGGCACAAGGTGTCCCAAGCCAACCTCATAGTTCATAGTCCCATTTTCTAAGTCAGCCGTTTTCCAAACAGGCCTGTTTTTAGATGCTTAATGATACTTAAAAGCCAAGATAGGGACACTGCTTGTAGTATTCCTTCTAATGGGGTGTGTCTACTCTCCAGACTCTTCATCAAACAGAAGTAAGACATGGGATGACAAACGTACACTCCAAAAATTAGGGCCGTTCAGATGGCTCAGTGGGTAAAGGAACTTGTTGCCAAGCCTGATGGCCTATTCAGTCCCTAGGACCCACACTGTGGGAAGGAGAAACTGACTTCTGCAAGTTGTCCTCTGGCTGTCATAAGCACTCTCTGGTGCATGCATGCCCCTTTCCTACACACGTAAATACATGTGGGAATTATTCTACATGCATGTCACTTTCTACCCAAACCTTGAATGCATGCCCCTTTCCTACACACGTAAATACATGTGGGAATTATTCTACATGCATGTCACTTTCTACCCAAACCTTGAATGCATGCCCCTTTCCTACACACGTAAATACAGGTGGGAATTATTCTACATGCATGTCACTTTCTACCCAAACCTTGAATGCATGCCCCTTTCCTACACACGTAAATACATGTGGGAATTATTCTACATGCATGTCACTTTCTACCCAAACCTTGAATGCATGCCCCTTTCCTACACACGTAAATACATGTGGGAATTATTCTACATGCATGTCACTTTCTACCCAAACCTTGAATGCATGCCCCTTTCCTACACACGTAAATACATGTGGGAATTATTCTACATGCATGTCACTTTCTACCCAAACCTTGAATGCATGCCCCTTTCCTACACACGTAAATACAGGTGGGAATTATTCTACATGCATGTCACTTTCTACCCAAACCTTGAATGCATGCCCCTTTCCTACACACGTAAATACAGGTGGGAATTATTCTACATGCATGTCACTTTCTACCCAAACCTTGAATGCATGCCCCTTTCCTACACACGTAAATACAGGTGGGAATTATTCTACATGCATGTCACTTTCTACCCAAACCTTGAATGCATGCCCCTTTCCTACACACGTAAATACATGTGGGAATTATTCTACATGGATGTCACTTTCTACCCAAACCTTGAATGCATGCCCCTTTCCTACACACGTAAATACAGGTGGGAATTATTCTACATGCATGTCACATTCTACCCAAACCTTGAATGCATGCCCCTTTCCCACACACATAAATACAGGTGGGAATCATTCTAGATACATGTCACTTTCTTTCTAAACCTTGATGTATTTTGCTAACACCAATTCTAATTTAATACCACAGAGTTTTAGCTTTTCTTTTTCTAATACTTGGAAACAGTGAGGAAGTACAGTTTTCATTATTAATATGTACACTCATTCATTTAATTCTGTGATATATAATTTTCAAAATTAATAACCCAGACTAGACTACTATAAAAAAATAAAAATACTATTTTTCCCTTTAGCACTGTCTTCCCCTCTCCTCCTCTCCCCCACTCCTCTTCTCTTCTTTCACCTTCTTCTGCCCCCCCCAGTCTCACTCTGTGTCCCAGGCTATCCTGTATAGCCCAGGCTATCCTTGTACTCACTGTATATAGCCCAGGCTATCTTTGAACTCACTGTGTAGCAAGGCTGTCCTTGAACTCACTGTGTAGCCAAGGCTATCTTTGAACTCACTGTGTAGCACAGGCTGTCTTTGAACTCACTGTGTAGCCTAGGCTGTTCAGGAATTCACTCTCCTTCTGCTCTTATGTGCTGACACTACAGTTGTGCCCCAGTCTGTGGGCATTTGTCGTCTTTACAAATATGTTTTATATCTTTCAAGTGTATATAACTATTTTCCCTTCTGTAATTAATTTGGATTACTTCAAAAACTTCGGATTAATTTATCTTTTATTTAGTAAGAGATTGCTTTTGCTATTCAGGGCTTAAGTATATTTTAAATTCAAATCACCCAGTTTTTTTTTTCCTTACTAAATGAAATATATTGTATGTGAATGTTTATCAAGTGAGATTTTTTTGCATCTTTTTATTAGACTTGTGTTCCTTGAGATTAAGAATTATGACATTATTTGCTCTTATGCCTCTAGTGCCTAATAGTTAATTATTAGTTGATTAATGCTAATTAATCTAGTAGTAGGAACTCAACAAATGTTTTAGTATAAGTTAATTTAATGAAGTAGATTCTCACAGATAATTTCTTTTAGGTAAATTCCATCTCATTTCCAAGTTAGGAAGAGTGGAAAAAAGTGTAGAGGCTCATTGTGGAGCTGTGCTTGCGGGTAGATGGAATTACGAGGGGACCGCATTAGTTACAGGTAAGTTCTCTGCAAATTTGCCTCTCCTTGCTGTGCTGGGATCAAAACCAGGGCCCTCCACATGCGAGGCTAATGATCTACCACTGAGCAATATCCTCCACATCCGAAGTAATATTTTAAATGAATTTGTTTCGTTGTTTTGTTTTTTTCAAGAGAGGGGTTCTCTGTATTGCTTTGGAGCCTGTCCTGGAACTCGCTCTGTAGATCAGGCTGGCCTAGAACTCACAGAGATCTGCCTGCCTCTGCCTCCCAAGTGCTGAGATATAAGAAACCCTGTCTCAAAAAACTAACAGCAAAACAAAACAAAAGATCAAGTCCCTAGAGTAGATAAAAGTTACAACTTTCGAAAAATTACAAACTTGAAAATCTTCTCAATTAACTTAGCTTTATCTCTTGTCTCTCTCCCACCCCAGCCCTACTCCGGGTAGGACTTAACTGTCTTTACTGTATTAGTCATGATTGCTGCGCAATGAGTTACCTCAACACTCACAGCAAACATTCCTATGGCCTGGCAGCTGCTTTAGTGGGTGGGTATTTGTGGTTCCTTCAGGTTGTGACATGTGGCTGCAGTCAGAGGATGGCTTGACTGTGCTGGAATGTCCACTTCCGGCTTGGCTTACACACATGGGTGCTGGCAGGAGACGTTAATTCCTTGCCACATAGGCAATTCTATAGGGCTGATGGAGTGTTTTTATAAAATGGCATCTGGCTTCCCAGGGATCCAAAAAAACAATAGCAGGTTAGAAGCCACAGTATCTTTTGTGACTCACCCTCAGAAATTATCCTCTGCCATTTCCATCCCACTCTGTTCTTTAAAAACAAGTCACTAAGTACAGGCCACACTGAAGCACACGAGGATAAACACTGTGCCCCTGAAGAAGGAATAGCAAAGACTGTGCAGATGTCTTTAATCTATCCCTTAGGCCTCTTTAGGAGGAGTTAAAAATTGTTATTGTTTTAGGACATGTCCTCTGTCTCACCTGTATCTTTCCTTCTTTTCCTATGGCTTCTTTTTCAGCATGTAAATGTATTTAGATGTGAATTATTTTAAAAATTAGGCAGGAAATATAAATCCCAGGCTCAGTAGTAGAGTATTCATCTACTGTGTACAAGGATCTAGCTTTGATCACTAACACCACAAAAATAAAATATAATAACTAAATAAATCAAAAATCCTGCTGGGTGTAGTAGTGCATACCTTTAATCCCAGCACTTGGAAGGAAGAGGCAGGTGGATCTCTGTGAGTTTGAAGCCAGCATGGTCTACATAGTGAGTTTCAGGACAACCAGAGCTACATAGTGAGACCCTGCCTTGAAAAAACTCAAAAAACAAACAAACAAAAACCAAAACCAATCAACCAAACAAATAAACAAGAGCCAACCAAACAAACAAAGAAACAGAAATGCCTTTCTTAAATGACTTTCTGCAGTGCCACACTTCTCTTCTCAGTTAAGATGGTTACCAGTGGTCTCAGTATTTCACTCATTTCTTCTCCTGCTCCCTGGTGGTCAACTGCAGTAGAAAATACCCTGAGAATATTTTCTTTGGGATTCTAAGTGGAGATTACAGTGACAATTGGAAGTAGTATTTGAGTAACATATTCCTAAGTTTTAAGGAAAATAAAATTTTGGATATGGAAGTTAAGTTCTATTGATGAAAGTTTTCTTTATGTAATTTCTTTTTAAATCTACTGTTAAAACGTACTCTATTACACTTAGAATAAATTTTATCTGAATTTTAAACATGTAGATGCTTGTTTATATATGTAAGTGTAAACTCAAGATTATTTTCTACAGATAATTTTTTTGTCCTTCACAGTTGGAGAAGATGGACAAGTGAAAATCTGGTCAAAGACAGGGATGCTTAGGTCAACATTAGCTCAGCAAGGTATGCTTTACAACTGGTCATGTCATTTCATTTCCACGACTATGCAACACATGTGTCTCAACTTTTCCTTTTTTTAATAAATAACAGGTTTTAGGCTTAGAGAGATGTCTAAGAAGTTAAGAGCCTTTACTGCTCTTGCAGAAGATCTGGGTTCAATTCCTAGCACCTGCATGGCAGCTCACAATAGTCTGTGAGTTCAGTTCACAGAATTTGATACCCTTTTCTGACTTCCAAGTGCACCAAACATGCACATGGTACACATATATACATGCAGGCAAAATATTCAGACATATAAAATTATACAATACATAAATTTAAGAAAATACTTTTTTTCCTTAAAAAAGGAATCTATGATAGTGGTTGAAATTGACTTTGGTCACACTTAAAACCTGAATTCTATTACTTCTCTTTGGATTTAGGAACATCTTTAAAAAGACTTACTTATTTTATGTATGTGAAAGTTTTACTTGCATGTTTGTTTGTGTACCATGTGCATACCTGGCACCCGCAGAGATCAGAAGAGGGCAGGGTGTCAGATACCCTGGAACCACAGTTACAGATGGCTGTAAGCTACCTTGTGGGAGCTGGGCCTTGAACCTGGGTCCTCTGAAAGAGCAACAAATGTTCATTAGTGGTTGAGCCATCTCTCAGCCCCTATATGTTTTTTTATTATTATTACATTTACTTGTGGGTTTACATGTCTTCACCCAAAGATGTACATGTGGGGGTCACAGGTCAATTTGTGGGAGTTAGTTTTCTCATTCCACCATGCAGGTTCCAGGGATGGGACTTAGGTCACAGGCTTGGTGGCATCTTTTCCTGCTGAGTCATCTCATTGGCCCTATACTTTTTCTTACATTCTGTGATGCCAGATAGACCATGGTAATATTATTTGAATTAAAATATATTTAAAAAGCCAGGCATGGTGTGATGACACCTTTAATCCCAGCACTCTGGAGGCAGAAGGAGATGGATCTCTGTGAGTTCAAAGGCTGCCTGGTCTACAGAGTGAGTTCCTGAATATGCAGAGCTACATTATTGACAGGCAGGCTTTTTCTTTATGTTAATGAATCTATATAAAGGCAATTGTAGGCTAAATACTCTTTTTAAATGACTCTGAAATATTTAGAGTATCTTGTACATAAAGTGGGTCTAGATGTCTCATTAAGACTGTCTAGATAGGCATGGTACTGCATGCCTGTAATCTCAACACTTACGAGACAAAGGCAGGAGGATTGTGAATTTGAGACCATCTAGTAAGACCTTGTCTCAAAATAGCTCATTGGTAGAACACTTATGTAGTACACAGAAGGCCTTGGGTTCAATCCATGGTACTGAAAAGAAAGAATGAAAACCATGTAAGAGAAGATATTAAACATATCCTCTTCATTTAAAAGCAGGCGGAGTGGACCATGCCTGTAATCCCAGAACTAGGAACCTGAGGCATGAGGATACTCACCAGTTTGAGGCTTGTTCTATGTAGCCAATTTCTGTCTAGCCTGGCTATGCTGTCTCAAAACAACAACAAAAAGTCCCAATAATTTGGTATTAACACTCCTTGTAAGTTATGTTGAGCTTTGATTTCTGTCCTAATAAAGGGGAATAGGCACAGTAAGGGTGAAGCTTGGTGACTGACAGTGTTTAAAGGATCACCTTTGAACAAGTGCAGAAAGGAGAGGCAGTAAGTCAATATGGTGGCCTCTCCTGTTGGGGCTTAGATTACACGTAAATTCCTAGAGTGTATCGGATTAATGACCTAGAACACAAAGCAATATTACATTTACCTACATATATATGAGGTGATCTTGCAGATGACTGTTCAGAATTATATTATAAATTATCTATAACTATTGCCACTTTAAAAATGATGTTTACTCGTAGACTAATGTTAAAGTTACATTTCTTTTTCATATTAAGCAATTGTTAACAGAAGTGACCAGAAAGAAGTACTAAGTAGTTTTTTTCTTTTGAGATAAAATCTTTTTACTGGTAATCTTGAAGTAGAATGTTCATTGATGAGTAGAAACTTAATTCTTTAGGAAGTCATAGGTATGTTTCATGTTTTAAAGTTGATTAATTACTAATTTAGAAGTAAAATTATGAAATGTATCTTTAGAAAGTAAGTCTTACTTTAGTGGGCACAATGGTTTTCTTTTGTCTTTATAGATTTTTTTTTATTCTCCAGATTTATTTTGGTAAAAAAAATCAGATATAACCTTTCAAAAATTACATTAATATTTAACATGCATTCAAATAACTTTCTTTTTTTTTTCCAGTTTAAATTTAGATAAGAAACGAGGTTGCTTCACAAGTCAGTTCCAGGTCCCTCTCCCATTCCCTCCTCTCCTCCCGTGCCCTCCTCCCAACCCCCCCCCGTTATCCCCTCATTCCCCCAGGGAGGGTGAGGCCCTCCATGGGGGTGTCCATAGTCTGTCATTTCATATAGGGCAGGGCCTAGACCCTTCCCCAAGAGTTCAGGGTGAGAGTGCACCTCACATTGTTCTATGGGAGTCCAAAGTCCGTGTGTATACTTGGGATGGGTACTGATCTGCTGCCCAAGGCTCAATAGGTTCCCTAGGCCTCCTCACTGACACTCAGATTCAGGGGGTCTTGATCAGTCCCATGCTGGATTCCCAGGCTGATGCCTGGGATTCAAGAGTTAACCTTTGTCTGGTCAGCTGTTTCTGGGGGTTAAACCAGCCCAGTCTTAATCCCTTTGATCATCAGTCCTCCCTCTCTGTTACTGGCTTTCTTGAGTTCAGCTCAGTACTTAACCAGCCACTAAATGAAGTTTCTGTTTCCCAGACTCTCTGGCCATAGGATTGTAGGCTGGCACTCCCCAGATCTATGTCTAAAATCCATATATGAGAGAGTACATGCCATGTTTCTCTTTTTGTGACTGGATTTTTTTTTAAATGCTGGATCTGGAGCTCTAATCACAGGCCCTGTAATTTCTAGGCAAGTGCTATCCTCACACTATGTATAGCTCTAGGCCCCATAGATTTTCTTGTACCATGCCATCAGCAGTCAGAAGAGGGTGTCAAATCCCTTGGAACAGGAGTTACAAATGGTTGTGAGCCACCATGTGGGTGCTGGGAGCCAAATCCAGGTCCTCTGTCAGAGCAGCCACTGCTAACCACCACCTAGCCATGCCTCCAGCCCCTTCCTGGTTGATCTCTTTGCCACATACTATGCTTGAATCTGTTATTTCAGACTTTCCAAGTCTACAGTAGAAGCTTGGAGTAAGTTGCTTAATATTACTATTATTCAATATAGGGTAATGATACAGTTCTATGTATTAATTGTGTGCTGTATTTTATATGTTAGGGATCTAAAAACTGAACTACTGCTTAGCTTACAAACAAGGAAATGTTTTAAATTCGTAATGATACTATGCATCAGCATTCTAAATAGCAATCATTTCCTTGGTATAAAAATGACTTTGAGAGCCAGGCCGTGGCAGAGTCAGAGTCAGAGTCAGGTGGGTCTCTGAAGCTAGCCTGGTGTGTGGAACAAGTTCCAGGACAGCTAGGGCTACACAGAGAAACCCTGTTGGGGGTAGAGGGTGTCGAGGACTTTGAAACTGTTAACCATTTTTGCCTTGTTTAATCTTATTCGCAGTCAAAATTTATGTTAATTATGAAATTGATAAATAATATTGTTATACTTTCTATTTCAGTTATCCTGCTGATATTTCAATTGAATAATCTGCTGTTAAAAAATTAATACTATAGAGCTCTATGTTTAATTCTTGAGTTTTTAATTATTGATGTACTTTTCTAGCAAGGCATACTTTTCCTGTTTCATCTCTGGGAAAATCATTAGAGAAGTTAACTTGTTATAAGGACATATTCCAGAAGGTACAGGTCCTGATGACGTATAAAGTAAGTTCCAGACCAGAATTTGAGAGCAGTTGTAAATCTAGACTACTTGAAGGCTAGGTGCTAATGTCTCAAATTAGAAAGCCAGGAAAGTCAGCCTCCTTTACAGGTTCTGGAGATTTGATACAAAAATATATCACATCCAAATTACTCTAAAACTCATAATTCTATGAACAATGTTGATAGTTCCATTGTTATTTTTCTACATTTTATGTTAATTACACTTTTCTTGTTTTGAAAAGTTTATTCTCTGGCATATATGCACACAAACACACACACACACACTACATTTAGTTATTTAGTGTACGGATATGTGTGTGGGTGAATGCATGCCATGGTATACATGTGGAGGTCAGAGTCTAACAGACCCCAGCCCTTAGTAGGACCCCCCCACCTTAGCACAACTGACGCCATATTAGAAGCACCATTCAGGCCTTGAAATCCTGCATATCGGCTGCAACTCCTGCCAACACAGGAGCAAAGGCTAAGTCAGCGGTTACAGGGAAGCCTCCAGAATGTACTAACCCTGCCCTTTTTTTTTTTTGGCTTCTGTAGTTCCACTCCTTGCTAACTGAAATTTAGCAATCAGGATGTGGTTATTGTGCATAAGAGACAGAATTGGGGGCTTGGGGCTGTATGATTTGGGCAAGCTTCCCTGTGCAATTACCAGCAGGCAATAAAGACTTTCTCATTGACTTTAAGAGTGTCCCTGTGGTGGTGTCTGGTGGGCTAACCTTACAACGAGAGGACAGCTTACAGTTGATTCTTCTTCCAGCGTGTGGGTCGTGGGGTTGAAACTCAGGTCACTAGACTTGGCAGTATGTGCATTTCCCTGCTGGGCCATCTTGTTGGCCCTTACATTTATTTGTAGATGAAGAGAAATTAGTTCCTGAATTCATTTCTTTCTTTTTTTTGAGATGGGGCTCTGGCTGCCCTGGAACTCACAGAGATCTTCCTGACTCTGACTCTAACTCTGGGATATAGGGATTAAAAGTGTATGCCACCATAGCCAATCTTGTTAACTAGTAGAGATTCTCATATGGAAAGTTATGACTACTAAGTTTTTGCATAGAACACAATAGTCATAACTCCTTTTGATATTGAAGATGATTCCAACTT